TCTGATGCCAGAGGAGTTGGTCACTGTCAGAAAAAAAGATAAAACACTGCAAGGCTTCCTTTTAAGCTCTTTGAAGAAGGGGGGAATAAACAGTGCTGGCGTACAAGGCCAACTTCGTATTGGTAACAACTAGAGACTCGCCTCTGTGGCCTTAGGCCAGACTGATCTAAGGACACACAGCTGGTCACCATTAGAGAATGTAGTTTCTGGTACCTGAGCCAATGATATGCAGTTAGACTCATCCTAAGTCTGAGGGTGTACTTGGGTGAGATTTATTGGTTACCTCCAGAGCAGCAGACTTGGCCCAAAATGCCTTGGATGCCCCTGTTGACCACTGGACCTTCAATCTGAGCTTAAGAGACCATGAAGGTTTAATCTGACTCCTTTGTGGAGAAGAAATCCCATGCAGCATTCTTTGGGGTTCCAATACAAATTCTGTTTTAACCAACTGAGACCTTCTGAAAGCCTGGTCTGCTCTCTTAACATAAAGACTTATCTCAGGTGCTTTTAACTTTTCATAACACTTTCATTTGCTATGTCATTTAAGGTACCTGGGGCAGGAATTGTAGAAACTGGAGGCTTAGAGTGGTGAATTGCCCAAGGTCACTCTGCTGTTCAGAGGAAAGCTGGGGGAAACTTTAGGTCTCCCAATTCCAGGTCTTTAGATGCCCAAGTATTTTATTCCCTGGCCTCACAAAGAATTCAGAAACTATATCCAAGCACAGCCCAAAGCACCATAAGGCTGGCTTCTAGTCTAGGTCTTCTCCTGACTTTCCAAGGATGGCACACCAGCCCCTTTCCTTAGCAGGCCTCCTTCAGTTTCTTTATCTGAAGCGTATGTGTCTGAGGAGGAGTGGTGCTCTTGGTGGGGTGTTTGATGGGAGATGGCTCAGAGATGTCTTGTTAGGGATGGACTTTGATTCATTGCTATTGTTAGCCTACAGTGATAGAAAATAAAAATGTTTTCAGAATGAATCTCAGTTTAGTAGGAAAGAGAACTGTGCTCTAGTAGTGATACCTGCTATGGGCAAGGAGTAGAGAGTTCTTTAGTATTGATGCTACTCCAGGACCCCATCCTGTGTAACATTCTGGGGTTCTGAATTTTAACTGCAGCAAAAAAAGCCAACAGAGTTGAAGAACACTTTGTGAGTTCATTGGCTGCCACTTGACTTTGTTTTCCAGGTGCGGTTTGAAGGCCTGACAGGAAACGTGCAGTTCAATGAGAAAGGACGCCGGACCAACTATACCCTCCATGTGATTGAAATGAAGCATGATGGCATCCGGAAGGTAAAAGTCCCTTTGCTTCCTTTCCATAGGGAGGAGAGAGGGCTGAGCCTCAGAGGCTTGGGCCAGAGCTGAGGGCTTTGTGAGCCCACCTTTTGGAGAGACTCAGGAAATGAGAATTCTAGACTCAGCTATGCCACGAACCAGCTGGAACTCTGGGCAGGTCAGTTCCTCTCTCTGAGAATAGATTCTCTCATCTGCAAAATGGAAATACAAATCTAGGCCTTGTCTTGGGGTTCTTGTGAAGATCCAAGAGATCTTCAAGCACCTTAAAAATATAAAGTAATATATATGTACAAAATGCGACTGCTATTCCTGAGGGAGTCTGAAGTAAGATCTTAACAATGGTGTTACTGATGTAGTTAACCATCCTGTTCTAATCCACACTTGGTCACATTTACTCCATGTTCCATACAGAAGTAGGAATGAAAAAATATGTGCATGTGTGTGTGTATATATGTAATATATAACATATGTGGATATTCAAATCTCTAGAATAACATTTAAATCCTTGAAAAAAGCATTCAGAATTGTGTCAGATCCTATGTGCTCTGCACTCCACCAATATCTCTGACCTTGACCCTTGACACTCCCTTCTTCTACTCATCATGCTGATCAATTTTCACTTCCTTGAATACACCATGTTCCTTCTCACTTTCATACACGTCCCTGTGCCCAGACCAGGATTTAAATCTCTGCTTTACTCTTTACCAGCCATATGACCTTAAACAAGTTATGTAGCCTCCCTGGACCTCAGTGACATCATCTCCAAAAGGGAGATAATGTCCTTACCTCACAGAGTTACTGTCGGTTTAAAATGAAACAATGCCTGCTACCTCCAGTGTCTGCAGTGAGGGAGTCTCCAAAATAGCACCTGAAGTGTAATGGACATTCAACCCATGTTGTCTGTCTGTCTGTCTGTCTGTTTGTTTCAACTCCATTCTTTAAGCCACAGGGATTTTTTATTTTTATTTTTTTGGTCAGTCTTGAATTTGCATGAGTCAAGCTGTGTAAGCCCATAAAATGGATAAATCAGCAAACAGAGAAAAACAGAGTAACCTTAAAATCCACAAGCAAATAACTGTGCTTTATTTTTCTGACCCTGAGCCTGTTTTTCAACTTACTTCCCAATGACTAAATCCTTCCTTAGAATGTGAGCTTAAGCATCCTTTGTTTACAGGGGATCTGAATTTCAGAAAATCAATTTCCCCACATGTATGGCTTTAGGACTTTTCCTCAATCAGCCTCCTAGCAAAGTAATTTCTGAGGTTTAAGGGTGACCTAGTTGGGCTGGATTCGGTGAACATGACACGACCATACCTGATGGAGGTAATAAAGAAGCGCTACTGCTTGATTTGGGGCCATGGAAACACTCCTGATATTCAGGTGTATCCTGCCCAATGACGTGCCAACATGCTTTCTAGGTTCTGGGTCCAATTTGACATCCCACTGAAATGTGTGTGCTCTAAAGCTTAGGAGCTTTAAATGCTAGAATTGGCACTGGCTCTCCTCAAGCTAATCCTCAGGAAATCCCATTCAGAGATTCCATTTCACTGTGGGGTACTAATGTGTAGGGATCTCTATCCCAACAAAATACCTTGTAAATTCAGGCGAGATGACAAATTCTGATAAATGACTGCCAAGGGAGAAGTGTAGAGAAAATTCTCCAAGGCTTTTCATCAAGGGGCCAGCATTGTTGATTTCACTATCCTTGCCCATCACCCTTGGTCCTGGAGCTAGTTTGGGACCTGATTACAAACATCTACCTCTCATTTCAACTTGATTTGAGTATTTCTGCCCTGCCCCAAGTTTATTATTCCTAGTTCTGATCCTGTGTATAACTGGAAATGAAAGACAACTAAAGTGACATGAAGCCCTGCTAATGTCAGGAGTAATTTAATGTTCCAAAGAATTTGCAACCCTCCATTTCATATATCCTTTGGGTGTTTTGCTTTAAATCCTCACTACCCAACATTAGACATACCAAATCCTGTTATCACTCTAAGACAGAACTTCAATCCCAGTACTTTTCTTCATTACCATGGCTGACCCCAGAGCCTACACCACCTCCACACCTGCCTGGACCCATTAAGAGCCTCCTTTCCAGCCACCAGTCCTGCTGTCTATGTTCCTGCCTCTCTACAAGAGGATCCTACTTTTTTTCACCACAAGAGCTGGGATAATAATTTTCAAATATGTATCAGGTTATATTGCTCCCCTGCTTCAAACTTTTTTTTTATTGCTTAAAGTATTACAAAGGGTATTACATATGTGTCCATTTTCCCCCCGCCCTAGACAGTCCCCTAGCCTCCCCTATTCCCCAGTGTCTTATGTCCATTGGTTATGCTTATATGCATGCATACAAGTCCTTTGGTTGATCTCTTACCCCCCTACCTCCTGCCCCCCAACCCTCCCCGGCCTTCCCGCT